TACTCTACCACTAGGGGTGAATTTCTTCTTCTTCTTTTGACCTAGGGTGAACTTAGGTCAAAAAAAAAAAGGGGGGGCAGGAAAGTTTTTTTTAAAACTTTTTTTGGTTTTTAAGTCAAGGCTCTGTTCGCAGGTCGAACCGACTTTTTGCGAACGGAGCCATTCGTAACTCGAATCGTTCGGAAGTAGGGACGAATGCAAGTTGAGGTACCACTGTATGTATTTCTGGTGTTTTTTTTAATTTAACATTTTCAGGCAGCAGGTAAGTGAATCAGCGGATACTGATCACATAAATGTGCAAGATTAAAATGAAAGAATAGGTATATTTTAATTGTACTAACCAACAACAACAAAAATTGTTCTTCTTTCTGGCTCAAATGTTCCTTTAAGCACTAAGCTGTGTCCCCTTTGTTCCAATGTTACCAAAACATTTCCAGTTAGCGCCTGGCAAAGGACTTCTTGCTTCTGCAAAGAGTAACTGGATTTGTGTGTGTGTGTTGTTAAGAAAGAGGACAATGTTCGTTTGTTTGAACCTCGAGATCAAAACTAGAAACTTACTGGACTCCACGGCCAGGTCTTCCACTGCGCAGGACACGGTGTTCTGTTACAAGACCTGCGACTCTCAGGCCGATCACCACTGCAGTACTTGAAATGAACGGAGCGGTTTGCACCATCGTGGAGCGGCTGAATGCAACGCACCATCCTGATCTGATAACCGGACATCCCACAGGTTTTAGTGCAATGCTCCCATTCTTCTGCTACCCAGCTGAGACAGGAAAAGAGAGAGGGAAAATTATCCGACCCCATGTACGAAGCTCAAAAAATGTACAGTGGGGTCTCGACTTACGAACTTAATCCGTATTGGAAGGCAGTTCTCAGGTCGAAAAGTTCTTAAGTCGAATCTGCATTTCCCATAGGAATGCATTGAAAACCATTTAATCCGTATCTGCTCTTTTCGTCCGTAGAAACTAATGGGAAGCTGCTATTCCGCCTTCTGCCACTAGAGGGGGATATTTTTTTCTTTTTTCCTTTTAACCTAAGATGACTTAGCTTTTAAAAAAGGAAAAAAAAGAGTTCGTAACTCGAATCTAAGTTCGTAAGTCGAGTCCATATATTCCTATGAGAGTGGTTCGTAAGTCGAAACGTTCGTATGTCAAGCCATTTGTAAGTCAAGACCCCACTATACATGCATGCATAAACATTTGGATTTTCAAGAAAAAGTTGGTGGAAATGATTCTCGAACTGAATAGGGGAAGGGATTGTTAGTAGTGTATATGTAGGGTCTCCATATCTGCTGGAGATTGGTTCCAATCCTTGCCCGTGGATGCTGAAAAATATGGATAATAGTGAATGGTATGTATCTTATTACTAGAAGTGGCCATTAGAGAGAGACAGAGACCATACTATGTGTTTGAACCACAAAAATACAGAGCATGGTTTCTGGCTCCCTCTAGTGGCAAGTTATGGTAAATATACATTGAAACATGTATTTCAAATTTTTTATTGTAATATTTTGATACCATGGATAAGTAAAACTGCAGATAGCAATCTGGTGAATATGGTGGTTCTATTGTATTTAAAGTAAGATCATGGCCACTGGTCCCATCACCTCCTGGCAAATAGAAGGGGAAGATATGGAGGTAGTGATAGATTTTACTTTCTTGGGCTCCATGATCCTTGCAGATAGTGACAAAAGCCAAAAAATTAAAAGATGATTGCTTCTTGGGAGGAAAGCGATGACAAACATAGTCAAAGCTATGGTTTATCCTGTAGTGATGTATGGAAGAGAGAGCTGGACCATAAAGAAGGCTGACTGCTGAAGAATTGATGCTTTTAAATTGTGGTGCTGGAGGAGACTCTTGAGAGTCCCCTGGACTGCAAGGAGAACAAACCTATCCATTCTGAAAGAAATCAACACTGGGCGCTCCCTGGAAGGACAGATCCTGAAGCTGAGGCGCCAATACTTTGGCCATCTCATGAGAAGAGATGACTCCCTGGAAAAGACCCTGATGTTGGGAAAGAGGAGAAGGGGAGGACAGAGGACGAGATGGACGGACAGTGTCATCGAAGCTACCAAAATGAATTTGACCCAACTCTGGGAGGCAGTGGAAGGCAGGAGGGCCTGGCGTGCTTTGGTCCATGGGGTCACAAAGAGTTGGACATGACTTAACGACTAAACAACAACTACTACAACAACAACAAAATTGTATATACCTAGGCCTGCAACCAGTAAGGGACTTTAATAGGAGACACACATGATATGACCTTCTAAAACATACTGGGCCCATTAGATTTCTTCCTAGCTTAGCATAGAGTGCTGAGCTGTTCTTACACATTGAGGACATTTCCCAAATTAAGTACAGAAGAGAAAGTATCCAAAGGAGTCTAAAGCAATGTCCTTTCTTTGCCTGACAGCATGTGAGAAACTTTTATTCGAGATTCTCTTAATATTCTTTTGTATCCTAAACTGAATGCTGTCAGATCATTGACTTTAGCGTCTACATTGAAAACGGAATGGACTTTTCATTATCTAATGCAACATTTTTTAAACAGGCAGCAATGTGGAATTGGGGTTATACTTTATTCTGTCTGTGTTTTAAACTGAGTGATTTCCTGGACTGATACGCTGATCAATGCATGGCTCTCCTTTGAAATGTACCAGTTCTCTAAGGGTTGTGATGCTCTTTCAGGCTCAAAACCTGTGTAGCAAATGTTGCATCGAAGCACGAATATACTAGGATCCATTTCCTACAAAAATGAGTAAGGCAAGCCGAATGCAAAAATGAATGACAATTATTATGCGAAGAAAAAAATGACACCATAGACCCATGATTCCTAATCTTGGGTATCCTGGGTGTTCTTGGACTGCAACTCCCAGAAAACCTGGTCAACACAGATAGTGATGAAAGCTTCTGGGAGTTGCAGTCCAAGAACACTTAGGAAATGTATTCGCGAAGGCTTTCACGGCCGGGATCTAATGGCTGTTGTAGGTTTTTCGGGCTCTTTGGCCGTGTTCTGAAGGTTGTTCTTCCTGACTTTTCGCCAGTCTCTGTGGCCGGCATCTTCAGAAGACAGGAGTAGTAGCACTCTGTGCTCTAGTGTAGTTGGCTTGGGAGTGGAGTATTTATGGCTGTGAAATGTGCTTTTGTCTTTTTTCTGTAGATGCATGATTAGTGTGTCTTGTTGTGGGTGTATTGTCCGCATGTTTATTCGAACTGTGCCCAGCTAAGCAAAGATTTTACCAGGGATGTTGGCAAATCTTTGGGTCCAAGTTCAAATCCGAGTCTGAGTCTTTGGTACCAAAGTCTCAAGCCCCAAGTTCGAGTCCCTATTAAAAACAATATTTTCCCCCAGAAAAAAAGGAGCAGGTTGGTGAGTTCCAAGTCGTGAGTTGAATCAGAGTCACTGAAAAAAACAACAACTCTGAGTCAAGTCACTGTTGTGATTTAAGTCTGACTTGACAGCAAGTCTCGTGACTTGACTCCCCATCCCTGGTTTTTAAAGCCCCCACGTTGCTAGTGCCAACATGTCGCGACTTGACTCCCCATCCCTGGTTTTGAAAGCCCCCACGTTGCTAGTGCCAACATGTCAGGGGCAGACAACGGAGGCTTACAAGGGCTGTGTACACTCTTGGAGATTGCACATCCGGCGAATAGGCTTCGGCTTTTTGCTGGCCTCACAGAAGCCCCGGTGGACCATCTTGTTATCACTCTTCCTGCGGCATCCGTACTTGGTGTATTGGAACCCTGGAGAAGAAAGAAGCCAAAACAAAGAAACAAACAAAGATGATTCCTGTGTTTGGTGGGGGGAAAATGAGTATGAAATTACCGTGGGGGAATTTCATAATTCCAGGACTCCCAAGTCCCAGGTGAGCTTCTGGGATGATTCAATGAGCCCTGATGGATCGGGAGAATCCATACAACATTGTTAGAGGTGGGATTTAAAACCTACACGCTTAGCTTGATTTTTGCAGCCCGCATTTTGAGGCTAGGTGCAGACATCTAGAAAGCTCCATGGTTTAGGCATCTGGCTGCAGAGACAGAGGTTGGATGTTCAATTCCCCACTGGGCCTTCTGGGGAGAAGAGACAGCCTGGGTGGCCTTGGGCAAGCTGCACAGCCCCAGGGCACCCCCAGAAGAAGGGAAGGCTAAACCACTTCTAAGGACTCTCTACATAGGGAACCCGGAAAGGGTCACCATTAAGTCAGAATTTACTTGACAGTGTGCAATTATTATTATTATGGATTCTTGTGATGTTTTCCACCAGCCAAAGACAAGCTTTGCTCAGCCTGACAAAGGCTGTAAAGACAGAAAGCTAACATTTTTTAAAAAATCATTTTGTCAGGGGTCTAACAGAGGTTTCAACTACTCTCAGCTTTGGATTGCATACAATGAACACATGACTCTCCCTCCCCCCCCCTTTTGGATCATGGTTATTTAACTATTACTTTGGGCTTTGATTTACCCTAGGGTTCCCTTCCCTAGCCTTGCAATCCAGAACTTGCTGATCACTAGGAAAAGCTCAATAAAGGTAATACAAACGGGGGAACACCATAGACTCTTGGAACCAGGCAGGCGGTACGGCATGCCAAGCTAAGCATCCGCCAGGTACAACTATGGATTTGTCTTCAGTTTGCTGAATTTGGCTGTTCTTGGTGGTTTAACTGAATTTTTAATCCCAGCTCTGATGGAGGCTTGTCATGCTCCTGTTACCCCAGATGGGAAACCCTGACATCTGAGCGTTCAGCCTGGAGGCATGCGGTCCATCACGATCTCTCCCAATTTGAAGAGAACCTTGTCCAGCAGGCTGAGGCAAAGAGGCAGTCACGGAAGCAACAAAATCAGGGAGCTGGACAGGGGACAGATTGCATTTGTCTTCAGTGTGGAAGGGATTGTCACTCTCCAATTGGCCTTCTCAGCCACACTAGACGCTGTTCCAAGCCCTCTGTTCAGAGCACGTTACGGTAGTCTCTTGAGACTGAAGGATGTCTAATCTAATCTAATTTCCCTAGGCAAATGGAAACTCTTTGAGTTTCGAATGAAGGCAGAAAGGGCTAAAGGAAGTGTGTGTGTGTGGGGGGAGAGTGCTGGCCACCTTTTGTTTAGAGGGATGGGTCATAAATTCCAAACCACACCCTTCCCTCCATAAGCACCTTGCACACAGCTATCTCCATCTAAAAGGGCATACCTGGCCCCCAACAGTGGCCACAAAACTGTTGAGACTTTAACAGAAACCTATAATTTTGGAGCTCCCCCATGAACTTAGTGCACAGCCTGAGGAAGATGACTTATCATCGAAAGTTTGCTTTGTTTTATTTTTTTAATGGTCCAACAAAGGAATAACCTGTTTCTGCATTTGAATTGTTTTGAGGCCCACATGGCCTTGTCCTGATTTTTTTTCTGAACTCAATTAAGGTGAAAACTTACTTTACATTGATCCGGTTTCACCTGTTTTTTCCCCAGGAGGAGCGAATGCAGATGTGCACAGAAAGGAGGCATGAAGCATTTATGGATAAACATGGGAAACTCAAATGGATCAAAAATAAATCGATCGATCCATCCCTATTTAGGTATTTGGGCACAAAGTATGCTTACACACACATATATACACACACACCTCCATGACCCTTCCTTTCCTCCCGATCCTAAACGTTACCTCCTCCACAAGGCTTGGAACATTGAGACCAACTCTTCAAGGCCCACTCGAAGGTGTCCAGTTCTTCTTGAAGGACGTTGTTGCTGTTGACGTTGGGCACAGAGTCTTCGTGGATGATGTATTTGTAAGTGAGGCTGGATTGTGTATCGTTGTCCTGGGGAATGACCTGGAAAAGGAGGACCAAGGGACACAACTTGAAGCTCTCAGAAAATACGGGTGGGTCCTCTCTTTACCCCGTTCAGTTAGGATGTGAAGACAACTGAGCCAGAAGTAAGGGAAGACAATATTTAGTATCTCTTAGTTGGCAAACCTTGGAGGGAGGGTACTCTGCCTGAAGCCTTTTCTTCTTGTACAGTTAGCAGCTGCTTCGGATTTGGGACCACTTGTTTTGTCAGTGTTAGTAGACCACATGGGGTCTGTGCTTAATAGGCAACGCTCTTGGGCCCCCATAGCATCCACAGACATACCCCAAAATTTAAATTTTCTTGGGGGGGGGAATCAGCCCTGCCAGGAATCGTGGGGACATTTTGAGGGGGATCCCATTACCCTTTGGGGCTCCCATAGCTCCAAAAAGTTATTTTAAAACACATTTTTTTTGCCACAAGAGGGTGCAAGAGTTTTGTTTCTTTGTTTTAATCCAGTAGGAGTTATGTATCTGTGGGGGACTGGTGCCAAGCAGAGTATAGTGAACTCTATTTTAATAGTGAATGCTATGCATAGCATTGTCTCTGGCTCCTCCTACTAGCTAGTTCTACTAATGACATCATAGAAATATATGAAAAATTTGGGGTAAGGTCACATAGCTGCCCTTCAGGATCCAGAGATGAGTGGATGTCAACTCAGAGCCCCTTGATCCCTTCATTGCTCCTGTGGCAAAACACTCAAATACAATTGAGGCAGAAAAATAGGAACGGCGAAGAATGACAACACAGCATGGTCGCGTGTCATATTTTAAAGGGAAAGGCAGACACAAGAAAGGGGATATATTAAATGTAGAAAAAAGGAGAATGAAAGTGTGATGCTGTTGGGAAAGGTTTTATTGATACTATTGTGTAGCTCATGCATTTCAGGGAAGAACTAATGTGTGTTTCCCTTGCTTTACGGCCATGCTAGAAGAACTTTCTCTGACAGCGTCAGACTTTTCAGGTGGCGAGGACCTGGGATGGTGGCAGTTTATACATTATTACATAGAATAATGTGGTGCTGGAGGAGACTCTTGAGAGTCCCTTGGACTGCAAAAACAAACCTACTGTATCCGTTCTGAAAGAAATCAATCCTGAGTGCTCACTGGAAGGACAGATCCTGAAGCTGAAGCTCTAATACTTTGGCTATCTCATGAGAAGAGAAGACTCCCTGGAAAAGACCCTGATGTTGGGAAAGTGTGAAGGCAGGAAGAGAAGGGGATGACAGAGGATGAGATGGTTGGACAGGGTCATCGAAGCGACCAACGTGAATCTGACCCAACTCTGGGAGGCAATGGAAGACAGGAGGGCCTAGCGTGCTCTGGCCCGGCCTTCACGATGGTGGCTCCTATGATCTGGAAACAACTGCCACCCAAAATTCATCTGGCCCCTTCTTTGGAGATTTTTAAGAAGTAGAATCCCTTGGTAATCAGCTCCTTGGTGTTATTAGGCCAAATGGTTTGGGACCCCAGTACAGGACAGAACTCCCCTTCTTCCAGGGGGAAGCTGCTTGCTCAACCCATGCATCTCAGGCCAGGTGGCTCAGGATGATAACCCTGAGGGAGGCCCAGAAGGAGAAAACAAGGACCACGGCCTTCTCAATGGTGGCTCCTATGATCTGGAATGAACTGCCACCCAAGATTCACCTGGCCCCTTCTTTGGAGATTTTTAAGAAGTCTCTAAAACCTTTTTTTTAAATTGTGGCAGACTTTCCAAATCATGCCATTCCTAACAGCTCTGCTTGAGCCTAGGCTTAACATATGCAGTCACAAAATGATTTTACACTTAAATTCATTTTTATTTGTTGCTTAAAATCAAATTGTACGTTTACTGTTGTCTTAGGGTTATACACTGGCCAGAACGACCACTGGTCAGATGGGTGGGTTTAAAAATCCAATAAATGAGCAAATAAGCTATATCAGATGGGCAACTTAGGGAAATTCTGTTTTAATGACCAAACTTGTTCTTGTGGAAATGGAGAAATTGAACATGTTATTTTTCACTGCAGAATGCATGATGATTGCAGGAAGAAGTTGATCTCTCCACTAATAGGTGTCTCTCCGCACGGTAGCCCTACAGATTTGTTACTGTCCTGTTTAGAGGGTGTGTCCACTTATATTACTGACAGGATGTCTACATTTTTATTGATTGCTATGAGAACTAGAGAGAAAATGTTGCAAACACCTTGAAAGAAGGATTCATATACTCCACATAGGAGTTTTCTGTTATGTTCTGTTTTTTTATAATCTTGCTGGTCTGAGACCATAATAAAGAATGATAATGATGACCGACCGACCGACCGACCGACCGACCAACCAACCAACCAACCAACCAACCAGCAGATAATAAATCAAGGGAGGGGGGAGACTGGAATTTTATGTCAGTGTAATGGAACCAGCATAACTTTGGCAGGTGAACTGTCTGAAATTAAGGAATCACCAAAGACAATGACATAAGTCAAACTTATGTACTGTTGCCTACCATGTGCTCACATTCCCAGCAAGGAACACAGATAGGGCTGTCATATGTGCCTGGCAGGTGATTTTGCTTCAGCTTCAACCAACCAACCAACCAACCAGCAAACCAACCAGCAAATCAGCAAACCAGCAAACAAACCGACCAACCAGCAAACCAACCAACCAGCAAACCAACCAACCAGCAAACCACCAGCAGATAATAAATCAAAGGAGAGGGGAGACTGGGATTTTATGTCAGTGTAATGGAACCAGCATAACTTTGGCAGGTGAACTGTCTGAAATTAAGGAATCACCAAAGACAGTGACATAAGTCAAACTTATGTACTGTTGCCTACCATGTGCTCACATTCCCAGCAAGGAACACAGATAGGGCTGTCATATGTGCCTGGCAGGTGATTTTGCTTCAGCTTCGAAGGGAGAGAACGATTCTAATGCAGTGACATAAGTATCTCCTCAGTAGTTTTGTGAGCAAAGACCCCATGTGTCATACATGAAGAAAGAATCCACGCAGAATGACTTACCAACACAACAATGGCATCATGCAATGGGCCATCAGTCTGAAGGGTTTCTATGTCATCTTCAATGTGATACTCCCATTCTATGCCAAAGAATGATTCTAACGCAGCGACATAAGTATCTCCTCAATAGTTTTGTGAGCAAACACCCCATGTGTCATACATGAAGAAAGAATCCACACAGGATGACTTACCAACACAACAATGGCATCATGCAATGGGCCATCAGTCTGAAGGGTTTCTATGTCATCTTCGATGTGATACTCCCATTCTATGCCAAGATCAATGAATGAACGAGAGCTGGAACCTTCTCCTTTGCCGTTGAGAATATAATGCCCCGTTGCCTGGTTCTTAATGGCTAGAAAGAGGGAAACTAATTGTAATCAGTTATGGAAACCAAGGATTTGCCTTCTCAAGGGCAACACGAAATGTGTTGTCAGTGTATCTTTTCCAGTCCATGATTCCTAGGTTCTGCTTTGCTCATCGAGACCCAATCAATCCCCCTTCCTGTCTCACTTCAAGACATTTCATTTCAGCCCTCTGCAAAACTGATATGGATCTATTTTGGGTCAAGCCAAGCATCTCTATTGAGAGAGGAAGATGAATACATTTCAGAGAAAAGGGGTCAAAAAGGCACATGCAATAAGAAGCCAGAGGAAACTTCCGTTTTCTGTGTGAAGAGATCTAAGCTGTTTAATAACAGGATATGATCAGCCCTTCCGCAGAGCATTGTAAGTGTTTTAAGTGCTTCTGACACATTGTCCCAATGATTGTTCTATGTCAGTACTGTAACTCCCACCCAACCACCTTCGGACCTTGCTCCCAAACAATCCCATGGCTGGCGGAAATTAGCTGTTGTTCCAAACAAAGAGAATTGTGTTCTTGGAAGCTATTAGGAGGGAAGATCACATTACAAGTGTTTGTCTGCTTGTAGGTTTGTTTTAAAGGAAGTCTTTCTCTTTTTCCTTAAGCTAGGAGAGGTTCCTTTTTGATAAAGCGGGGCCAGAGAAAAAAGGAGAATAAAAAATGTCAAGAGAATAAATCAGTTCAGGGGAAGATGGTCCTCATTTATCATCTCTTGGAACGACACAAAAATGATTATCGTGTGTATTCATCTTGGTCTAAATGTATACCATCTTATTCTTACCTTGTGTATTACAACAGGACACATGTATACATGGAGGATTGGTTTCCCCCACACATACACGCCGCGGATGCTGAAAAACGCAGAATATAGACAACACTCTACATAGCATGGTCTCTCGCTCCCTCTAGTGGCCAGTTCTGGTAACTTCATATTTAGAAATGTATTGTTCCATATACAGCGGTGCCTTGACTTATGAACTTAATCTGTATTGGAATGGTGGCCGTAAGTCAAAACGTTCGTAAGTCAAAGGACCATTTCCCATAGGAATGCACTGAAAACTGATTAATCCATTCTGGCCAAAGGGGGGAAAAATACCAATAAATGAATATAAAACACTGCAAGTCCCACGCTGGGACTGCAAAAATAAATAAATAAATAAATAAATGAATAAATGAAAGCAAACAAAAATCAAATTCAAAAACAACACAACACAGCACAGAAACATAACCCCCCCAGTCCAAACCCGCCCTCCAAAACCTGCCCAGAACATTTTTTAAAAAAGGACTTACCAGTCTGAAGCCTCCCAGCGCTCCGCTGCCTTCACCGTGGCCGGGGGGTGAGCGCCCAGCCAGCTTAAGCCTCCCTGCGCTCCTCTGCTGGGGCCGAGTGGCCGGGGGCGAATGGCAAAGCGCCCGGCCACCTCAAGCCTCCCAGCACTGGGTGACCACTGTCTCCGATTGCGGCAGCGGGGGACCCCTGGGAGGTCCCCCAGGGCTTCCCCACCACCATCGGAGACCTCCTGGGGGTCCGATTGCGGCGGCGGGGAGCAATTTTACATTTCCCACCCTTTTCCACCGCCGTGATTGGACCCCCAGGAGGTCTCCCAGGGCTTCCCCGCTGCCATCGGAGACCTCCTGGGGGTCCCCGGCCACCATAATTGGCGCCTTCAGGGTTTCTCTGGAGACCTCCTGGAGATCCGATCACAGTGGCAGGGGCCTTTCCCTAACCGTTGGGGTGAAAGAGCTACAAAGAATCAGCCTCTTCACCACCAACAGTCAGTTCTTTTTGAATTTCCTGCCCCTTTCCCCTGCCTTTTTTGGTCCAGCTGCAAGTCAAAACGAAATTTTGCAGCCGGAGCTGTTCGTAAGTCAAATTGTTCGTAAGTCAAGGCACCACCGTATAAGATGCCCCATGTATAAGACACCCCCCCTTTTCCAACCCAAAATTAAGAAATCAATACTTCAGAAGAGACATGATGCAGGAGCTGTGGTGAAGGTTTGTGTGTGCACTGTGTGTAGACAGGAGACCTCTTGACAGCTTGTATATAAGCCGAACCAAATGTAAGGAGAAAACCATTGAGAACAAAGGTGGATTACAAATGCCGCCTAGAGTGGTCACAATGACCAAAAAGGCGGGGTATAAATTTATTTAATTAATTAATTAAATTAATTAAATTGGTCCAGTGACGGACCAATTCGCTTCTCATCCTTGAAAAAAATTAATTAATTGATTGATTGATTGATTGATTGATTGATTGATTGATTGATTGATTTTAATTAATTAATTTCCAAAGATGAGAAGCGAATTGGTCTGTCACCGGACCCAAGAGGCAATCCCACCCCTTGCAAGCTAGCACAGGCCCTGCTCCGGAGCATCTTCTGGAAAGCGGGGTCAGAGTTTGGCATTGGGTCTCTGGACGCAATGGCCAAACACAAGCAAAGAAGCACTTACCAAGAATGTGAGGGGAAGCCTCGTCTTCTTGGACAGCCACATGTCTAGCACCCGGTGGGATGTCAAACATCTTAAGGTAGCCTTTGGCATGTGCCGCAAGGTTTTTTTGGGAGGAAGCAGAGAAGAAAAGGAAAAAAAAAACCATTGCAAGGGTTAGCAAGCAGCAAGAAGAGGTAGCCCCTCTTGCAGAGAAGGTGCATCCATGGGACCCATGAACCTTAAAGAGAGACATATTTGCAACACTGGCGATTAGGTTGCCTCACATTCTCCATCTGGGGAGGAGGGGAGAGCAAGCGAACCGTGACTGCAAACCACTTACTTTGTTATGTTCTGTAGAGACCATAGCAATCCAGACAACTGAGACAAAGCATCTATGTTTCCTAGGTTTTGGGATATGGGAAACGGGAAGCTGGGGGTTGGGGCATCAGCTCCTCCTGATTACAGAAACTGGATCCTTAAATCTGCAGCGTGGCGTATACGCATTACTTAAGAGGAGTTGTGCTGGCTGGACCGCTCAAAGCATCTGGTTGAGGATCCAGAGGTTGGGAGTTCAGTTCCCCGCTGTGCTTCTCGGAAGAGCCAGTCTGTGTGGCTTTGGGCAAGCCGCACAGTCCGAGGATACCCCCAGAAGAAGGGAATGACAAGCCAGTTCTGTACATACTCTACCCAGACAACCCTGAAAAAGGTCGCCGTAAATCAGAATCTACTTGATGGTACACGATTCTTAATACAAAGAGTTATCTCTTAGGTCCCAGTGACTGGAGGCAACCTGAAAAAGAGCAAGAATGGCTATCAGCAGCTCAACAGAATCTCGGGTAGACTGTTTAACCACAGACTTAATAAAATACAGTGGTGCCTCGCTTAGCGATTGCCCCGCATTACGACGAATCCACTTTATGACAATCTTTTTGCGGCCGCAATTGAGATCGCAAAATAATGGTCTAAATGGGGGAATTTTGCTTTGTGATGATCGGTACCCTGCTTCGGGAACCGATTCTTCGCAAAACGATGTTTTTAGAATAGCTGATCGGCGGTTTCAAAATGGCTGCCGGGGAATTAAAATGGCTCCCTGCTGTGTTTAGGGACAGATTCCTCACGATACAGGCAGCGAAAATGGCCGCCGTATGGAGGATCTTCGCTGGACGGTGAGTTTTTACCCCATTGGAACACATTGAACGGGTTTCAATGCGTTTCAATGGGGTTTTTATTTTCGCTTTACGATGTTTTCACTTAACAGCGATTTTCCTGGAATGGATTATTGTCGTTAAGCGAGGCGCCACCAACCTAACAGTCAGAAGGTTCTCATTGTTGTACAGATCAGGAAGCCCTCATAGGAAACATAGAAAATTGCCTATTTCAGCAATGTCTGGAAGTGACTGGCCGGTATTGAGAAGTGAAGTGGGAATAAAAAGAGAGAGAAAAGAATAAAGACCGGTTCAATGGTAGCCATGGATGCCAACTTTCTGCAATGGGGCAAAACTTACCAAGCATATTTTTAGATTCGCTGGTTTCAGAAACAGACACATCTCGAGCTCCTTTGGGCAAAATGAATGCACCTCTCGTCTTCCCTTAAACAGAATTTTTGTAGTTGTTAGTGACCGAGGCACAAAAGTCTTGAGTTTCATTGACTATGTTTTTATCTGTGTCCATTCTATCAAGCATACCACTTAGTTTTTTTAAAATAAAAATCCATTTTAATTTTTGTTTGTACATATAGCAATAGTTCTTTCAAAATAATAGTCAATGAAAGTTAAGACTATGAAAAAACCAGTTAGATACTTGCAGATTTCATTTTCCAGAAACTTCAGTTCATTTTGGCACCTCTTGCTTAATTGTTTCCCTGTTGGAAGAGGCTGGTTAGACTTTGCTTTGGAAATACCAAGGCTAAATAAAGAAGTACATAACACAAGTGACACATCATTGTGGAATAGAATACTCAATACTTCTCTCCTCCAAACATCACGGAGAAAATGTTTTCCTTGAATTTGAAAATGTCTGTTTTTTTTATTGTTTTCCTACAACTCTCAGAATCTCCCAACCAGGATGGCCACTGGCTAAGGACTCTGAAGGATTCTGGGTGCTGTAGTCCAAAAAAGGAACTTCCCTAGTCTCTGTGTCTGGAATCCAATGGCTAGCCCCAACCATATGGCTCATCCTGCCTTTCTCTGCCCCCCCATTTCCCCCCTATTCCATGAGCCCCAACCGTAACGGACTCATTGAATCACCCCTCTCAATTGATTCAATGGGTCTGGTCTTGCTGGGAATGGCACTGGGTTGAGTCCAACATTTCCCCCGTACATCTGTCTCTGTTCAGCCACAGACGGGAAAGGATTCAACAGCTGCCTTGAACTCCGAGCTGCTTTGAACTGTCCTAATAACAGATTCATTGAATCACCTCTCATCAATTGATTTAATGGGTCTGGTCTTGCTGGGAAATGGCCACTGGGTTGAGTCCAACATTTCCCCCATATATCTGTCTCTGTTCAGCCACAGACGGGAAAGGATTCAACAGCTGCCTTGAACTCCGAGCTGCCTTGAACTGTCCTACTAGGTTGTGCAGTCAACTATTCACAAGACCAGTTCAGATGTGTGCCAATCAACTGGGAAAGTCCATTTCCAGTTGACTTCAAATGATCATATACTCTCGAGTGCGAAGTTCAGTATGGGTTACGATTGGGACCACAGGGCTGTGTAGAAACTAGGAGAATCAGCTCACATTACTGTATTTTTCGCACCATAAGACGCACTTTTTCCCCACAAAACAGGGGGGTGGAAAGTTTGTGCGTCTTATGGAGCGAAGAAAACAGATTATATTTTCCTGTTTTCTTGAAGTTCAGTTTACGATTGGGACCACAGGGCTGTGTAGAAACTAGGAAAATCAAAATACGGTAATTTAAACCTATCTTTTATCTTTTCTAATTTGAACTAAGCAGATAACCCTGCCCCCAGATGTGCTTAGACTATAATTCCCCAAAGTCTTCACTGTTAGCTGTGCTGGCCAGGATTTCTGGGAGTTGTAGTCCAAGAACATCTGGGGACCAAAAGTTGCCTTACAGGAACAAAAAAGCACAGCTAAGCAGAAATTATTATTCTTGGAACCAGCCTAGAAGAGCAAAGATGCAGTTTGACCCTCCAGATTTTCCGACCTACAATGCCCATCAGCCCCACTCGTCTGGGACAATGGCCAGGGACTATAGGAGTTGTCGGTCAACACTTCTCAAGAGCCAGGGGCTCCTTGCGTCCACACCAGAAGTATCTCCGATGGCAGCTCTCCCCATATGTGAAAGGAGATCAAAAAAGGATTATTGCACTTCTGCCATTCCTTTAGAATCTAAATTTGAGATGCAAAACTGTGTTGGAAATGTTCCTGGTGAACCGTACGAACTGTTGGCATTGTAGAAGAATGTTTGGTGCCCAAAGCAAAATGGCCACCGATGGCCCCCTGTGGTTCAAGGAACAGAGCTTGTTTAACTCTACTTGGCCTTCAAGGGACATGTTGAATAAGAAACAAACTCTGCGGCATCAACAGATGTAGGAATGTGGGGTGGGCAAAGCATGGCCTGTGGCTTGCCATGCTCCCCCTCACAGCATCTCAGTGCAGGCCTTACACACCTAAGACGTTCCCTCACACACACACCCCATTACTACAAATGCGGCACTGAAGCAGACGGCAATTTGGAATTCTTAGAGATGGAACTATTCGTACCAGGCTTCTTGGGGGTTCGGGTGAAGGTCCCTTTTACTGTCCGACAATGAGAGTTATCTCCCCCGCATACGCCACACTTGTCTTCCGCTTTGTTAGATCCAATCTCCTTGTCACAGCCGACTTTCTGTGGAAAGAAATTCAAACCGTCATCAGGAGAACAGAGAGGTTCAGAACTGTTACAGAGCAGCTTGAAGGCACGTCAATCTGGGAAAATGACAGATAAATGGGACCACCATCGGAGGTGAGTTTCAGCCATGCCCTAATATTTATCAGGTCTTGTGTTCAGATCAGCTCTCTAGCAAAGAAAGAGAGAAATAGCCATAGGGTGTTGGGACCTTCCTGTTGTCAAGGAACCCCCTCTTGCCATATGTTATGGCTGTTTCCCCATGTACGATCCTAGGACTGTCCGACTCTTCCTTGTAATGCATCAGATCATGATCCATCTAGGTTAGAATTGTCAATACAGTTGTGCCCCACTTAACGATTACAACACATGTTCAGATCAGCTCTCTAGCAGAGAAAGTGAGAAATAGCCATGGGTGTAGGGACCCTTCTGTTGTCAAGGAACCCCCTATTGCCATATGTTATGGCTGTTTCACCATGTATGATCCTAGGACTGTCTGACTCTTCCTTGTAATGCATCAGATCATGATCCATCTAGGTTAGAATTGTCAATATTGATTGGTAGGAGCTTTTCTAATTCTGTGGGGACTTATCCATGCAAAGAGTTATGTCATCTAGAACCCTTGATCGAGGTCAACCCAAAAGCATCCATGGCAGAGTGTTTTTTTCGCTTTGCGAAGATCGGTTCCCTGCTTCGGGAACCGATTCTTCGCATTACGACGATCAAAACAGCTGATCGTTGGGTTTTCAAAATGGCCGTCGGGGGCTGAAAATGGCTCCCCGCTGTGCTTAGAGACAGATTCCTCGCTATACAGGCACCGAAAATGGCCACTGTATGGAGGATCTTCGCTGGACAGTGAGTTTTTAGCACATTGGAATGCACTAACCAGGTTTTAATGTGTTTCAATGGGTTTTTTATTTTCGCTTTACGACGTTTTTGCTCTACAGCAATTTCGCTGGAATGAATTAACGTCATTAAGCGAGGCACCACTGTATTAATTGGTAGGAGCTTTTCTAATTCTGAGATTGTGGGGCCTTGTCCATGCAAAAAGTTATGTCATCTAGAACCCTTGACCGAGGTCAACCCAAAAGCATCCATGGCAGATGGATATGCTGCCCAATGTATCTGAAGACTTCTAGGACTCACCACACACTCTCCCCGCACACAGATGCTGAATGGGTCTTTGTATGAACAGCGGGTTCCATCGTGGGCCAGCTGCTTCATGTAAGCAACATCTCCTGTCTCTCTGGACTGGCAGTACAGCTGGCACCTTTTGGTGGCTATAGAGTAGAGAAATTAAGTCAAAAGGTACACGTGGATGCAACTGAAGTATGAAACCGTTCTTACATGGGTAAAGCTATGAAAGCGTTAAACTTTCATTTTTTAACCACCAATCAGAAACCTTAAAATAATCAGAGGTAGAGTGATGGAACAATACTTCAAATTTAGAGTTAGCATTCTGCAATATTCAGACTGTATCACACGCATTACCCTGATGAAAAACTGTCCACAGTCCTGCGTGGGAGGTAGAGATTGGAGTTTTCGATGTTCGGGGCTACAAACATCATAATCCCTCATTCTGGGAGTTCCACCTACTTTGCGGTTAGCTCACTAACACCAAAATGTTCTTTTCTTAATTATTTTTTAGATGTGTTACTCTCTTTTCACACAATAATGAATGTAACATTAGCACATGGAATTCAATGTGTTATTCCCAAAGTCAGGACTAAGGTTTACTGGAGCTTGCTTGTACAGGAGCCTCCTGATCAGAGATGGGCACCAACCACTTTTTCGGTCGTTAATGCTGATTTGTTTCGAACAGGTTTCCGGTGCTTCAAAGCCCCACCTCCTCAGGCAGCCGCCCACTCAGAGGCAGTGCCAGAGGAGGTGGGGCAAGGAAGCCAGGCCGCTGCCTCTGAGGAGATCCCTGCCAGAGGAGGCAGGGCTTGGAAGTGCCAAACACCTATCCGGCCACAAAACAAATCGGCAGAAACGGCTGACCTGGCGGTTTGTGCCCATCTCTACTCCTGATTGTTCAGTTGTACCCCACATTGATCTACAGAATGCACAATTGACTTGTTTGAAGGTCTAGGAGCATTTGCTTGAAATGATGGGGTGCAGCCATATGCAAGCCTATCACCTGGGACTAGGAAATAGTCTTAGTTTGAGTCAGACCACTGGTCTATCGAGTCCAATATTCTCAACGCTGACTGGCAGCAGTGGCTCTCCATGGCTTGAGGCAAATTTCCCCTCCTAGTTCAAGCTGAAGACCCTTGGCATGACTTGATGGCTTCCCATCCGAGGAATAACAAGAGCCACTCCTGCTTGGTTCCCCAAAGACTATATGAGTTCAGGGTGAGATAATACTACCCCCCACCCCATCTTTCCTTCTCCCTCTTCTTCCCGCCTCTCCTTCCTATATGATCCAAGATATCGAAAGAGACATAAAAATCTGCCCCGAGAACATGTTTTTAGATCAATCCCTTTCTTCTTCAGTCATTGTTCTTTGTATGAGAAGGCTTTTCAAGCTGATAGATCAGAAAGTCCCTAAAATGATCTAGGAGAATTTATCCCCTTAATTCTGTTCAATTGACTATTAAATTGCATTATTATTATTGCCACTCAGGAGATGAAGGGGCAACCATAGAATTTAGAAGTAGACTTCTTAATGGTTCCCCTAGATGTAAAGGCTTGTTAGGGAAAAAATTATCCTCCCCCCCCCCCCCCAGGAGGTGGCTCAGTCTTTTCAACTCCCACTGCTTTGTCATGTTTGCATCAATGCTCTTGAAGAACAGGGAAAGGTGCAAATCAGCATCATTGCTTACCATCTGGATGTTCGTACGGCAGCCAGTGGTGCTTGCTGTTTTGATACTCAAAATGCGAGTTGCGCTGTTGACACTGCTGGGCTCGGAAGTCCTCGTAAAGTTTTGGACACTCTTCCATGTTGCAGAGCTGGTATTCGAAATTGACGCCAGGACAATCTTGGCCTCCATTAACTGGCCTTTGGGCGACAAAAGTTTAGAAAACAGGACAGATCAAGAATGTGTGAGAGACCCCCTCCAGGCAACAAATTCCATTGACCCATCTTGATGCTTTGTCTGTCAAGCAGGGGGTCGAGAACCTACGTCCCACCAAAAATGATGTGGCAATGGCTTCACTTTGGCAGCTGCTCAGAAAGGATGGGAGTTGTAGTCCTCTAATTTCAGGACAGCCATAGGTGTCCCTCCATTTATAAAGATCTGGACCCTCTTTCCTCTCCATTGCTCAGCCATAGTTGCAAGAAAGGACTGCCATTCTGTGGCAGAACTCATGCTCCATGTGCAAAAAGCTCTAGGTTCAATATTCAGCATCTCTCAATCAAGCAGACAAGTAGTGGAGATCATGTATTTTCTGACGTTAGCAGCTGCTAATTGTAACGGACAACAGCATTGAGCTTCCTCTGTTTATGGGACAGGAGACACCCAATTTCCAATGCCTCTGCTTTATGACCGTTCGTAAAGTTTTATGACCTCTTTACCAGCTTCACATACTGAGTTTTAGGATCTCTAAATCTCTCATCAAGCATGGCAGATGGAGCAAAGAAGACAGTGTTGCATATACGCCATACTAAATGTAGAGGACATTAGAATTTGATGGCAAGCATAACTGAATGCCATTATCTGTAAACACTGGCAGAAGATGAATGAGAGGATGGTGGGGAGGGTCAGAAGAAGGGTGAAATTGAAATGTGAGAATTTTCCGTGAACCAAGCCTCTCTTTTAACATTACTGTATATGATAATTCCTTGTCCTCAAGTGGACTTATGGCAACCCTTTCTGGGGTTTCCTAGGTACAGCTGACTCAGAAGTGGTTTACCATTCCCTTCTTTTAAGGCTGCTGTGAAACCACGTGGCTTGCCAAAGGCCACACAGTCTAGCTATTCTCCTACAAGCTGTGCAGTCAGGTACCCCAGCTCAGAGAGCTATCCACCACCGACTCCGATGGTAGCCTCGTGGCACCGTGGTTAAACTGCAGTACTGCATCCAAAACTCTGCTCATGACCCACGTTCAATCTAAAGTACCTGACTTGAGGTTTACTCAGACTTCCATCCTTCCAAAGTAGCTGACTTGAAGTTTACTCAGCCTTCCATCCTTCCGAGATGCATAAATTGAGTACTTAGCTCACTGGGAGGTGGAGGCAACGTGTAGCCTACATAATTAAAAATTATAAACTGCCCATGCTATGGGAGGGGGGGTATATACACAGCACACTTTGTTTTTTTTTTTAAACAGTAAAATAGGGTTAAAAATCTGATGTTTCACTTTGTGATCATCAGCAGGAAATCAATGGGGGTATATAGGCAGCACACTTTATTTTTTTTTAAAACAGTAGCATAGGGTTAAAAATCTGATGGCTCACTTTGTGATCATCAGCAGGAAATCAATTATGACAAAAGGGTGGGAGTCTCCTGTACGTAGCCCAGCCATGACGGAGTAGCTCAAACTCTTCAGAAAATCGTATTCGGGAATAATGGCTTATGACCAATGTGCTTAATAATGAAAATGACCCAGGGGAAGAAGACACATCTTTCAAGTACAGTGGTGCCTCGTTTAACGACAATGGCTTATGACCAATGTGCTTACTAAGCACCAACTTGAAAATGAACCAGGGGAGGAAGACACACCTTTCAAGTACAGTGGTGCCTCACTTAACGAGTGCACAGTTTAACGACGAATCTGCATAGCGATGCATTTTTTGTGATCGCTAATGCGATCGCATTGCGATGTTTTAGATAGGGAAAACATCGCATTGCAATGATTGGTAAGCGTTTCGCTTACCGATCTTCGCATTGCGATGTTTTACAAACAGCTGACGGCGGTTACAAAATGGCCACCGGGTCAATAAAATGGCTGCCTGCAGCGGTTTCGCACCCTGCCCTCGCTTACCGGGTGGCAAAAATGGCGGCCGGATGGAGGATTCCCCGCATAGCGGTGAGTTTTCCCCCAATCGGAATGCATTAAAGAGAGTTTAATGCGTTCCTATGGGTTCCCCCCCCCGCATAGTGACGAATCTGGATAGCGATGTAAATCCTGGAACGGATTAACGTCGCTATGCGGGGCACCACTGTATTTGCTTTCCCCCCATAGGAAAGGTACCAAATAAGGATGCAGGTTTTACGTGTGAAACATGCTTCTTGAAAATGTCCCCATGAAGATGCACACACACAGACACGTATTACTTAAAGAGCCCATTCTCATACAAATCCTGATACCGCGTGTGCGCTAGGATAGATTCTCCCGAATTACATGGGATTGTTGCACTGTCTGGTCCTGAAGCGCACACCCGTCCCACACGTTCGGGAGCAGGAGCCGAATTTTGTCCACGCTCCCCAGTTGCCATCTTGTTTCAGCTGGTTGGTGTTCTTCCACATGCAGTGACCTTTGTAGCACCACTGAGGAGAAACGGGGGAGAAAGAAAACTTAACAATAGTCTCTCGGGATCAACTGTCATTCACTTCACACTGAAGCTGCAAGCAAGGGATGTGGCCAGTTTGTCAACTGCTCTGGAGGGGGATGTTTGTCAAGAAAGAGGCCGCCCTTCCAAAATGTTGGCCAGCTCTCATCATCAACCACCCTCTGGTTAGGGCTACTCTGGAGCTTCCCAGGATGATATCCTGTGAAGAAATGGAGTCTACTCTCTTGGTAAAAGGTCCTGCTTAGGTGCTCATAAGTAGCTGTAGATGACTCAAGTAAATCAGTCAAACTCTAATTCCCAGGAGAATGCAGCTCTCCCCACAAGAAGGCAACCATTCCAGAAGCGTGGGCCAATCTAGGAGTTGGGTGGACCAAAACTGAGTAGCAGGAGATATTTTGCAAGCAGAACTCCCTGCTCAGTCCAGTGAAAAGGCTGAGAAAGTGGGAGAGGGGGAAGACTCCTGCCTGTTCTACTGTACCTAATCATTAGACCCCTTTATTTGGGTATTGTCCTCTTAGACAATTCTTCCATTGGAAGCCACAAACTTTCCCGAGAATGAGGTTGAGTGGGGGATGCGATTGCCTGCCCTAACAGCTTGTTTGTATCTCTGTGCCTTGACATGCAATGTGTGGTGAACCATGAATGACCTGTACTCACTTTACCGGGAGCACACTCTGTCCCGTCAAGCGGAGGCCCCTTCTTTGTCTTGCAAAAGTAGGGGTTGTCTGGATGACTGCACCACAATTGTTTACAGGGGTCAAAAGTCCGAAACTGGGAAGAGTGAGACACCACGATCATACATGTTAAATATGAACAATTTCAACATGCAGAAGAAGACATCAAAACAATTGCACAGAATCATTGCACTCCTGATTTTGAAACAATTTCGAAAACAATTGCTTAGCATACCTTTGGCACAGAGTTCTTCCACGACACTTGCTAGGGATACAACAAATATTCCTTCTATAATGGACAGGATAGGTTCTTCCAAGACACTTGCTGGGGATACAAATATTCCTTCTATAATGGACAGGATATCCATTGGGGGAGGGAGAATACCTTATTATATACTGCTCTATAGTACTTTAAATGCTATGGGGCGCTATAGATAAGCAGCAAACTTTGCTTTTGTGATGCACACATTTACTTAGAGAATTTATATCTTGAATTTCAGCATAAAATCTTGTTGGTTTAGAGCAGCTGTCTACAACTCAGGCTTCTCTGCTGCTTAGGTCGACAGCTCCCATCATCCGCACCCAACATAAAGTCAGGAATGATAGGAATCACAATACAACACATAACAGAATACAAAACTGTAGAAGACTGTCTGACACACATGCCATAAAACCAGGAACACACAGCGATACTTTATGGTGAGATCCCACAGTTCCTAGGCATAAAACCCCAAGGTAGAGCACCCAAGCATGCCCATAATAATGGGCTCAAGCAACAGGAAGCCAGATTTCGGCTGAATATCAGGAAAAACATCTTAACCGTTAGAGCAGTACAACAATGGAACCAATGACCTCGGAAGGTGGTGAGCGCTCCAATGCTGGAGACAGCTGGACAACTATCAGTCAGATGTGCTTTGATTTGGAGTCCTGCATTGAGCAGGGAGGTTGGACCTGATGGCTTTATCGGCCTCTTCCAACTCACTTATTCCATGATTCTATGATCTCAGATATTGGCATGGGGAATGTGCTTTTCTGCCTGAGACCCTGGACCAAAAGGGTGCAAAAAGTAGTCCTAATACCCCATGCTATCTTTTGGCTCTTCCTGGCTCATCAGTCTTCCGGGCCTGCCAACAAAGAGTGGTTTTCCCCAGTTGGAAACAATGAGTGGCTGCTCCCAGAACCTCCCAGGGAGGTTACAGCCTCCCTATAGTATTTCATATCGAAACAAAATGAAAACAACCCGTATTTTATAATAGGAAATGGACTTGCCCCCACTTCTGGTTCCGCTCCATCCCTACCCCTATCCTGAACATTTTTGGCAGGCTTTGTGGTTTGTGGAGGATTCCAGGAACAGAACGCTGCCCCCTGGACTCACTGAAACTTCTCATTCATGGCGTTGAGTCATGAACCCTTTGGGAAGCCCAACAAAATGTTGCAGTGTAGCATCTTCTCCTAGCATGAGCGCTCCTATTCAGGGGTCCAGACTGCCAGCTCTAGCCCATTCTACTGCACACAATCATGACCAGGGCTTCTCATTTGTCTTTCATAACTGGCACTCTGTATTTATTTGGTTACTGCTGAGCACGCTCAGTCTTCATTGGGTTTGTTTGGGAGTTTTTTGCCCCCCCTTTTCTTTAACAGTCTTGCACTTCTGAAAACTTCACTCAACTTAAGATGGGACCCCAGTATCTTCATACATGTTCTCAGTTTCATCTCAGAGGTCCCCTACAGCAGTGGTCCCCAACCTTGGATCTCTAGATGTTCTTCGACTTCAACTCCCAGAAATCCTGGCCAGCAGAGGTGATGGTGAAGGCTTCTGGGACTTGTAGTACAAGAACATCTGGATGTCCAAGGTTGGGGACCACTGCCCTACAGCATCTATGGACCTGCCATACTTCATCTGCCATGGCTTTATGGTCTACTTTGGGTAGCCTTCTCCTACCTGTTGCCCTTTAGTGTTTCAGACTTCTCCTCCCACAATTCCTCATCATTGGCCGTGCTACATGGGGCAAATGGAACCCGTAGTATAAACCTTCAGGAACATATCAGATTGGGAAAGCTTGCTCTAAGGTTTCATACAGCGAATCAGACCCTCCTTCCATCAACCTCCACAAACTAAGGCTGAACTTTCAACAACGCAAAAGTCTGGTCCAGCCTTACTTTCTAGAAACTGCTCTGGACATACCGCCGTGCACATTTTGTAGCCAACTCCAAAATCAAAGCGGCACTGCTCGTCCATGGAATAATTGATCCCTGGCAGTTCGGGAAGTCTAGGCCAGTCGTGCTCAAAGGGGTCATCAAGAAGACAGTCGTATGAGCTGAGGAGTCAAAAGAGAAACAACAGAGATGTAACCGTGGTTTATGTCTCAAGTCCTCTTCCCAATGATTTATGGTTATTCGAATATTTGCTTGCTTGCTTGTTTAAAATATTTTTCCCTACCTTTCTCCTTTAAAAAGGACACAAGGCAGCTTACACCATTTAAAGACAGCATTTAAAGCTAACAACGGGGAGTATACAAATACTAAATAGGGTCAAACAACCACCACACTCAAAGTGGTGCACACAATCAACACTATAACCAGATTCAAAGCAACGAGGCACAGCATTTCATTTAAACACCTCTCTCCCAGGCAGCCAGTCGCTCAAGGAAAACTGCCTGAAGAGAAAGTTCTTTGCCTGGTTGCGGAAAGACAGCAAACACTGAGCCAGCCTGGCTTCCAGTGGGAGGGAGTCTGAGCCAGCCCGGCTTCCAGTGGGAGGGAGTTCCAGAGTCTGAGAGCAGTAACAGAGAAGGCCCTCTTACCTGTGAAGGTGGCAAGACTGATGGAAAGGCCTCTCTTGATGATCTTAACACCTGAGCCATTTGATAAAGGGAGAAGCAGCCCTTGAGATAGCTTGGGCTCAAGCCATTTAAGACTTTATAGGTTAAGAACCAGAACTTTGGATTGTGCCCAAAAATGGACTGGCAAGCAGTGAAGTTGCTCTAACAGGGGGTGGGTTATGTGATCCCTGTGACCAGCCCCAGTTAGCAATCTAGCCTTTACTCAAATGTACGGCCAACTTAATAAGGACATCATTTATTTACCACCAGTCTCTTAACTTACTTGCATTCTATCTATCTGTCTAGGAATTCTATTCAACACTAGAGGGAACTAGAGGCTTGATCAATTTTACTGCAAGGCTTGAATTGTACAGTTGATAAATTTGCTTGTGGGTCTAAAATCAGTCGATAAACTCAACAGCATCCTGGAAGGAAAGACATTGGAGGCTCTTGTTCTATAAATCATGGATGTCTCTCCCTTGAAATGCACTGCAATCTGCATATCTCAGGGTGCTTTTCAAATACGTTTGTATGGTGAGGCAAAAGCTGGACTATGTGTTCATTTGGAATCTTCCAATTCTGCTATTCCTTTCAATCAAAAACCCTACGGCTCTTTGATAAGCCCCATAATGCTGACAGAAGGGTGGTCAAGAAGAAGGCTGTGTGGCAGTGGCCAGAAATGCCACTCACCTATTTTGGCCTGCCACGCCTGGCTGAAATACAACAGAATAACGAGAGGTGTAAAGGGTGGCTAAATGGCATTATTGAGAAAGAATGTCCTGGCAATGGCCCAAACCCTATTATTTACAATAGTAAATGACACTATTTATTTATTTATTTCATTTATTTATTTATTTCATTCCTATTATTTACAATAGTAAATGACACTAGAGGAGGCTTATTGAATCAATGGGAATTTAGTGAGCCAACTGCTCCATAAATTCAATTGGTTCAAATGGGCGTACTCTACTTGTGACTCACCATGCTCAAATAAGTTGCAATTAGAATAGGCTCAATTAAATCAATGGAGGGGAACTGATTAATAGGAGGTTTAAAGGGTATTGCCAAGAGGAGGCTTATTGAACCAATGGGAATTTAGTGAGCCAAATCCTCCATAAATTCAATTAATTCAAATGGGTGTACTCTACTTGTGACTCACCATGCTCAAATAAGTTGCAATTAGAATAGGCTCAATTAAATCAATGGAGGGGAACTGATTAATAGGAGGTTTAAAGGGTATTGCCAGGTCAACAACCTGTCCCCAAATACAGTCTCTGATTTGAAGCTATGTATAAATGTCTAACTGGAATGTAAGATCTATGAACCTTGGGAAGCTGGAGGTGGTCAAACAGGAGATGGCAAGAATAAACATTGACATCCTGGGCATCAGTGAATTAAAATGGACAGGAATGGGCGAATTCAATTCAGATGTTTACCATATCTACTATTGTGGGCAAGAATCCCGTAGAAGGAATGGAGTAGCCCTCATAGTCAACAAATGAGTGGGAAAAGCTGTACTGGGATACAATCAATATGATAGAATGATTTCAATATGAATCCAAGGCAGACCTTTGAACATCACAGTAATCCAAGTTTATGCACCAACCACCGATACCTAAGAGGCTGAAATTGACCAATTCTGTGAAGACTTACAATACCTTCTAGAACTGACACCAAAGAAAGATGTCCTTGTGAACAATAGCATGGATTGGTGGCTTAATTAATCCTAGGCTATAGGTAACATACAGGAACAATATGGTAATGAGTATTTCTAATCACCAATAGGTCTTGTGAGGTGGCACAGTTAAATAACAAGGAAATATAGCTGGGAATTTCAGCAGATAAGACATAATTGGAAGGCTGTAGTGCAGTAGGAGGAGGGGAAGGATCTGTTCTCTATCAACTCAAGAGTGCAGAACAGGCAACAATGGACTCAAGTTACAGGAAGCGAGATTTCAGCTGAATATCAGGCGCAGTGTGACAATGGAACCAGGTGGTGAGTACTGAAACACTGATGAATTCAAGAGAAATAGAGACAACCACCTGGGATATAATATTTGACTTATATCCATGCATTGAGCAGGAGGTCGGACTCAATGGCCTTATAGGCTTCTTCCAACTTCATGATTCTATAATTCTATGACATAATATACAATGGTGCCTCGCTTAGCGATTGCTTCGTTTAACGAAAAATCTGCTTAGCGATTGTTTTTTTGGGAGCATTTTATGATTCATTTAACGGTGTTCGCTATGGGCAATTTTCGCTTAGCGATCTTCGGGACCATGCCTCACATAGCAATGACAGTCTGGGTCCCCCTGTTTCGCTTAACGATGTCCGTTTTCGCTATTTTAAAAGTGTCTTAAAATGTTCAAAAACTGTTTAAAATGCTTGGAAT